ATTCCTTGATGTTTAGAGCTTGTTTGGGAGGGATTAAAATCAGATTAAAATTGAAAATATAGCCGTTATTGTTGACTTTTATTAGACGGGTGGGACCCAATAACGGCCATATTTTCAATTTTAATTGAATTTTAAGCCCTCCCGAACGGGGCCAATTTATTATTTTTTGCCACTCTATAAAAAATTACTAAAGCTTGTTTCTTAATTTGTTAGTTTTAGACTTTCAGTTCATTCGTCACAAACCTTTACCTTCCTGGTACCTGAAAATTAGAAGTGAAAAACTATATAGGTGAAATGATGAAATCATTTTCTTGAATTAAATTCTGTCATTACTTGATTACATTTTATGCGTGCCTGTATCTGGCAAAATATTGATTTTATGCATCTGCTTTTGTTTTTAATGGTAATATGGCTTCAAACATAATATATCTTTTCAAGATGTGGTTCAACTTATTTGAAATATTTAGAGAGTAAATTCGCTTTTACTCTTCTAAATATTATGATTAATGCAAAGTAAGAACCTTGTTCAAGATTGATGATAACTAGTTAAGAACAGAGAATAGGATTGACAGAACTCTCATATAGAACATTANGATGATAACTAGTTAAGAACGGAGACAGAACTCTCATATAGAACATTATGTTTCTCTGGATTTGTGGCAGGGATTTCGATATGTTGCATCTGGCCCCATGGTTAGGTCATCATACAAGGCGGGTGAATTCTATATTAAATCCATGATAGAATTGGATCGTGCTGCATCTTCTTCCTAGAGTTCAGTAATCAGGTGATTGATTGTCTTAATACCTACAAGTCGATGCTCATAGAAGGCAGACGGAAAATGTAACATTTCTTCTCCAGGCGACCTTTATCCACTTCAAGAGGCTCTATCTTCGACGCATCAAGAATTGTGCTCCAATTAATGCATTAACTTGTCCAAGAGTCACCTGCTGAAGAATTTGCACATTGAAACGATGATATTGCTGATCTATTCTTTCTTTGTTTTTGGTCGTACATCAACTCTGATGTAAATTTGTAATTATGTATCTTGGCAGATTCCTGTCTGCTGCCTTAATGAAATAAAAAGCTTCTGGTTTCTTATGTTTCTTCATAACTGAGGGATTTG